CGTGTAGACTTCATTTTACACTATATGTTAACACCCGTAGGCATATGGATTGACATCACGCTCAAAGTGAAATAATAGTAATACACTACTTGTGATCATACTTAACTTCATGCGAAGTCGAACTAAACTGCAGGACCTAAGTTCTCTTCTTATTTTTCAAACACTGAAGTTAGGTATTTTTGTCATAAGTCCCTACAGATTTACCTATGACTAGGAGACGTAATCGCGTAACTTTAGGCAGATTTTTAGGCTTTAATGAAGTACTTATAATTCACCACTTTTATCGATGGATAGTGTTCCTGCAGAATTGCACTTACGCATACTAACGAATTCATATCCTAGGGAGCACCGGTCTAGCATCCCGTACTCCCAACGCGAACACACGAACAAAAAGACAACAATGTTATTAGGAAAAGTTTGTTTTTATTGTAATACGAAAGTAGTTAATTTACACATTAAGAAAATGGTCCATTTGTGCCATTACTTCTCCCGCGTAATCTGCGGCAACCACGTAGTGAGTGCACAACAACTACTTCCTCGCTTTTTGTATTTCTCATAATGAATTCTCAAATTCCTCCCAGCTAAAGAAACGCCTTGGCAGCATTAATTCACCGAAAATTCCACTGACGTGTGCATTGCCTACCTGCAATAAACTAAAAAGTCTTTGTCAATAAGCATCCATCTGTCTCTCAACTGTTTCAATATAATTCTGTAGAAAAAGCAATATGGAGATACATCACCTAGCAATATCCATCAATAAAATGCTACACGTATAACCTAAAATTGAGAAAAGCCCAAGAACTCACGGGTTCCTTGACATCGCCAGCAACCGATAGGCCAACAAACCGAGTATATGATAAACCAAGCCTTGTATATGCACGAAAGAAGTAAAATAAAACGTTAGAATAATCAAATTTTACATTTATTTCCATCAAATATGCTTGAAAACAACGCATACCTCAACCACACAAACCTGCACACGATATCACCTACCTAGGACAAATTAAATATAAAATTAGCCGCCACTGTTCCAGCCAATGAAAGACGAGAAAACCTGAGGCGCCGAAGATATAACACGCTATAACGTATATCATCACCCATTGTGAGTTGATGGCTAAGCTGGCTAGTGATCGCGCACGCACGTGACACCACGGAGTACCAAATGGCATGGATGCTTGACCGGAAGCCTTCAGCCAAACGAGTCGACATAATCAGTGAGGGTCAGCATCCGATGTTCAGTGATGATTGCTGTGGTCAATGATTTTGTGGAATTATATACCACTACACTATTGTTACTAACAATCAAGTGGGAACTGTCGGAATACCTACATTGTCATATGTATAGGCAGGTGGTTGCGTTTTTAAAATGATTCACAGTGAGGTTGAATAGGGAAGAGTCATGTAGTTCATATCTCTCAGTAAAAATGGGAAGGTAGCGCTAAATGTTTTCTATGAAAAACCCCTTCTTCTCCCTAGAAATTCTGCTAAGATTCTTAATCCATCTTTAAATAATGAAAAGTTTATTTATCTTGTGACAAGACTGTTGGTTAGAGTGTCTTTCCGGCAAGAGATATTCTATGTGGACAAATTTATTGTGAGTTTTGAAGCTAACATCTTAGTGTTGGAAACACTGAACTATGAGATTTTAATGCAAGTTTTTAGTACTTAATTCAAATTAAGCCCGATTGCTCGTGCAATATGATACTATAAAAGCCTATTTTGCCACTCTTCAGAACAACTGTTTTGTGTTTAGAGGTATGTACTGTATGTACTGTTTTGGAATAAAGCAAATTATTATTATGTCTTCTTTAAGGGATTTAGCTAAATAAACTTTCCATCACTTGACATGTTTTTCCTATGTCCTGAAGGCAGAAGGAGAAAAATCAGACTTTTGTGCTTGGTCGAGATGTAAGTGTTCATATAGGTCTTAGATCCAAGGCATCTTTCCCTTAAGTAGTCAGTGAAAATTGAGCAACTGAAGCGCCTTTTCAAAATTAGTTGTACAGCGCAGACTAGTGGTGAGTTAGTATTCTCCAACATATTTTCACTGATTCCCCTCATCATAAAACTTTAATAATGTCAGATGTTGTTTATATTAAGGGACAAATTTGATCTACGATTCCTGTTTCCCTCTTGATCTGTTAAATGTTATCTTAAATTAGTGTCATCTAGTCTAAAATGCATTGCATTGTCTAATAGGGCGACATTGACAAACGTCTGCCAGTAATCCATGGTGTTTTATAAACTCCAAGTGGTTATGTTAAACTATTACAGCCAATAAATGACACTGACAAACCTGCCCGAATGAAAGTTTCTGACCTCCTTGTGGTTTGATAAGTTGTTAATTTAAATGTGGTAACTCTGAGCTGTAGCTACCTAAATGAAAGACTCAGGTAGATGGACGTACTAACATCATTTAACCAGTTAGATGAGCCCCCGGTAAAAACGAATTGCGTCGCGAATTCCATCAAGAGATAGTATTTGAGTACAATCGGGATCATAGGCTTATAGGAATCTTGTAGACGTGGAAGAGTAATGTCTTTACAGAAGTATGTAGCCTCTATCAACTGATGTTCCAACAGATTTGCAGGCTGTTGTTACAGAAAATATTCCCGAGATATATGTCATACCTTTGTAAAGTTCATGGGTGTTATAGAGCATTGAATTCGTCAAGAAACAGCGTGATATAGAGTTATCTGAATATATTTGTGTTCAGAAATAGGCTGGAGACTCTGATAAGGACGCATACAAGAAAGTTGCAGCGTATAACTGTTTCTTAACACTAACATTGATGTTTATAAATGTTTTCTGAATTACGCGTGTTTACCACGGGCTTACACTATCGGTTGAACGAGGTCATTAAGTCCGTTTACTTAAGTCTTTTGTTTGGGTACGTACGGTTTATAGTCACCTTAAATGTCTAGACTGCTTAGTGGGATAATTCTACGATTACCGTAACCCATGATCCTAGCTTTAATTCCCAACCGTGAGTCCTAACTCGAACGACTAAAAGACGAGCAGCATTCATTGAGCTTGCAGCAGGTTTTTGTCAAAGACTTGAGTGACTGCTATTGTTCATCTTCACCTTCTACACTTGTGAAACCCACTCAGATGTCAACAGAAAGCGATGTCTGTGCCACCACAGATCAAAATAAATGTCCCTCATAGTGTTACTGATTGTTTCTTGATGGCTTGGGGATAGAATACTCAATTATTCCAGTTACTATTTACTGTTCCTCAGGGGGAAGGCAATTGCTAACAAGGTGAAAGGCCTATAACTTAGATAATTACGAGCAGGCGTGCAAACTTACTCGTCATAAGCTTTTTAGATACATCTGAGTGATTTGCAGTTACAGTATTATACTTTTTAATCCAACAAAATACCGTTCAACGTGAATGATGTATAGTTCCATGTGTTTATGTAGAGTTTATTCTGGTTTCCGATTGGCTATTTTTAATAACCGTGAGTTTACACACAACTTCCCGTAATATAAGAATTACTTTCACCAAGACATGTCACTCAGCTACCTTACGGCTCTGCAAACTGTGCACGACATAATAATTTCTCACGAGCTTTAGTGGCCAGCTTATGATCTTATTTTTATATCCTATTCCTGCTGATCTAGGGATACATTTTATTTGGTTTCTTTACCTGAAGATGAGCGTTTCTGATTGATGTCAGACTTTGCTGTCCGGGGTCAAATAAACTTCACAGTTCCAACCCAGTGTTCCTGTTGAGTTCCAGTCTGTTGTATCTCTTCGTTGACTTCTGAAAGTGTACTATTTTGACATCTGTAAGTCTCATGGCACCATCTGTCAGCATCTTATTTCTTAAATGTTATTTTGGCACATGTGAGGATGATCTTTCTCTATACTCCCTCGTGCACTGTAGACAAGTTGCATTACGGAGGCTGCCTTTAAAGCTGTTTGTTATCTAGACGAGCGTACTGCTCTTCCAGTAGGTTTGGATAACTTGACGTAGTACACTATCTTCATTTTAATGGCTTCTTGAGCTCTGAACTGAATTTTAAACATAGAACTTCTGACGAAAGTACAGAAGTGCAAGTTACCACACTTCATAATAACACTGATGTTGATAAAGAGAAAAAACGCAAAAGAAACCATAATTAGAAATTTGATGAAGGGAATAATTACTCGAGGAATAATAGGAATTTAATCAGCACGGGAGATCACAAGTTGTAAGTGCATTGGCACTGCTGAGTAAAGTTTTCATCCAAGTCACTAATGGTCTACAGCCGTTGATCTTTATTATCTTAAAGAACTCAGCCAAACACTACCTCCCTGTCTGGCTTAGACCAATAGTGAGACTTTGTGGACTAATACCACATTGTATCTGACCTCTCTAACTCTCTCCTAACCTAATAATATAGCAGCTTGTATAGCTGTTTGTAGTAAATGGTGGTTTGGCACGCTTAATTCATGGCCTAACCAAACAAATCAGTGTAACCACGTTGTCATCAACTGATCCTCTCTTGTTACCTAATGCTCTATACCATTTCGCTAAGAACATTAGTCTGTTGTCAATTTGGATAAAAACTCTCTATAGGTTTTCACACGCCTGCATACATCGAGCAGTGTTTAAATCACATTCACTGATGGGTTGGTTGGTGGATTTTGTAGTGTAGCTATTGTGCAGTTAAACCGCTGCTCAAAATGTTCTCTCCAATGCTGTAGTCGTCTATTTTGAGAAGTAATTGGTGTCGCGTTCTCGGAAATGAGTTCACCTATCGAAGTTTTATGATCCATTTTTCTAGTGAACTTGAATAGTTGTCGAGTATTACTTTTTGCTGAAGCATTTTCCATCTCCTTCACTTTTTGTCACTCATCACTTTTCCAGGTTTTTGTAAAAAGTCTTTGATATGCTTGAGTTTCAGTAGCCATGTTTACAGCCCATTGGTATCAGTCTCTTGTCATGTTAGGTCAAATAAGGTTACATAATTATCCTGGCTTTTACTGACTTAGTTTCAGGTTATGGACAGCTTTTACCACTATTTCGTCAGCAGACTGATATGATGTTATGTTTCTTTAATCGCTGTTATTTTCAGTTTTTTAGTCATTTTCTTAAACGAAGTATATATGCGCTGAACGAAAATTAGACGCTTACTGGTTCTGTTACATCTTGTTTCCCACGTCCGTTCGGTCATAAGTATATGCTTGTGCGAACTAATGCATGGTGGGAATGCACACAACTGTTCCAGAATAAGTGGAGAGTTTCTACCGACCCCGTCCATCGATAACTTTTAGCTAGATGATATGTGTCTACCGTTGACTGTATGACGCCTGTTACTTGGGTAAGAAAGTGTCTCTCATGCTTCAAATTGGTGTTGGCCAGAAACAGGTAGTCTGAACAGAATTGTAAAAGATGTTCACCTTAGTCGGTTCGTCTTCTTAGAACTCCATAGGTGCCTCCAAGATGGCTTCCGGACTGTCTCAGCTTCGCCACTTTTGCCTTGGAATCCTTTACTAGGACGATTATGTTTGACCGTCTTACCTTTAGAAGGAAACTAGGTAGCTTTGGTAGGGTTAATCCATTTATATAATGTAAATATAATATAATACTCCATTGGAATCCTGTCGAACAGCGAATTTTCCGTTCTAACGCTTAGTGCTGTTGCTATGGCAGTAAGTCTACACAAACCAGTCCAGAGTTCTCGCTATGATGCGTCTTGTCTTATTCAGCACAAGGTCCGGATTTTGGAAGCTCCAGTATCAAGTTAGGATTGTATCAGCAATGGCAAAACAGCCAAAAGATGAAGTTGGGTGGTGGTCGGGAAAGTTTTGTGTGCTTTTGGTAGTGTATAGATGGTTATTGCTTCCCCGTTGTCCACACAGTGGAAGTAGATTTCTTCTCAAAATACTTTAAAGCAAAAGAGGATTAGAGTCTCAGGGCCTATGAGACTACTACTTAAGTCCGGCCACATAGCCTCTTTAGACAGGTTTTTTGAGTTGTGTTCGTACTGAGACATATTCACTGGCTATGGACCTTCATGAGGTAACTTAGTGTGTGCAGTTTTTGGGTGTTTAAGCCATCGTTCTCTTGAAAGATGCGAAAGTTTTCATTTGTCTTTTCGTAAACTTCTGTTTTAGCTTCACTGGCACAACCTCACCATAAATGGCTTGCGGGCCTTAGTCACAAGCAGATTTTCTTTCCCACACTATTTTTCTCAGAGCTTTTAAAAGACAGTTTCTTCGTTTAAGTTTTTTCATACTGTGAAGATACATCTAAAACATCTACACCTCTCCCTCTGAATGTTGCAGAGGTATTCACGTTGATAATTTTGCTTGTCTTTTCACTTGTCTTTGAGTCTCAGTCGCCACTTTTCTTTTTTTAGAGATACTTTTGGTCAGCAAGCTTCAACTGGACACAAAATAATTGCACAAATTACATACTGAATAACGAATCTAGTACATTCTTTCAAAAAGATTCGTTTTCTCTATGGATCGTGGCGCTAAACGGGCTAGATATAGTTCAGAAGAGGAGGACAATGGTAATAACCATGAAAATTCTAGAAAGGATGACTCGTCGAAAAATCCAGATAAAATTGCCAACATATTTGGCAGAACTGGTGGTGCATATATTCCCCCAGCTCGACTTCGTCAAATGCAGGCCCAGATTACAGACAAATCATCTGAGGCATATCAACGAATTGCTTGGGAAGCACTTAAAAAGTCTATTCATGGTTTCATCAATAAAGTGAATGTGTCCAATATATCAGAAGTTGTTAAACAGCTTCTAATGGAAAATATTGTTAGAGGTAGAGGTTTATTTGCCAAATCTCTTCTTACTGCACAGTCTGCATCGCCCACCTTTACTCATGTTTTCTCTGCTCTTGTTGCTGTTGTAAACTCGAAGTTTCCCAAGGTGAGTAATTCAGTTTATTGATTTATAAGTTTATTCCTTTAACATCTAAAGCCGGTTAGTTACTTTATGCTGATTGTTTAGTCAGTAACTGATTATAGTTTCGAGTGTTGTAACTAAGTAGACGTTGTAACTGACTACTATTATTTTAGGTATATGTCTTTTGATGCAAGCCATATTCTCTAGATAACTAGATTCAGGCAGCCACATTGTATCTGTATCGCCCCCATAAAGTAGGTGAACTTCACCAAGAAATGTTTGCGATTTCTGAGTTGCATTTGTGTACTACTGTGGGTAAAGGAGAATGATGCTCGGGGAGGCTTCGTATGCTCTTGGGAGTGTGTAGACGGTTGTTACTTCCCGGCTGCCCACACCGTGGAAGTTGGCTGATTATTCGGGTACCTGAGACAGAAAGAGGGTTAGTGTTGCGTGACTGCAGAGCCCAGAGGACAACTGTTTGAAGCCGGTCACACACGGGCTGTATGAACTGGTTTCTTGGTTTGCTTCCGTACTAGTAAACTTATCACCGGTAACGGACCACCGTAGGGTAACTCGGGATGTACAATCTTCGGGGTCGACCTTTTCTAACCCCACCTCTCCAGAGTGGAGAGATAGCATAGCTGGTATGCCGGTCACTGCTGTTACACCCCTGTTTCCCAACAGTACGACTTCGCCCACAGACCGCCAGCATAGTGTAAAACAAAAGATTCTTACACTAAGCCGGTAACTGCTTTTAGTCTAATCGCTATCCTAACAACCCTGCTGGTATTGTTGAGACGCGCAGGAACAATAGTTCCAGCCATTGTAGCTTGTTGGGTCATTGCGATGTGCAAACCCGACCACCACGTCAAGGTAGCAGCTATTTCATGCTCATAGAAATCTGTTTATGTAAATTGTTAACTGACAGTTCAGCTTACTAATACAATTAAGTAGTGAGCATGTGATTTTGTATTTATTATCAAACTGATGTTATTTATTGTGAGAATAGTTCAGCACTCAATGTCAAGTAGCTACCTTCTTGAATATTTTGTGTTCGTACTGCTGCAGTGTATTGCTTCTCATGATATAGACAAAAATTCCACAGGAAGAGGAATGTCTGTTTCACTTTCCGAAATTGCAGGATTTGATTCTGAGTTTGTTTTTTTGTATTTTTCGCATTAGTGAGCAGTAGACCAATTTGAAGCGTTATCGGCTATGGGAAAGCATTGATCATGGCACTCTCCTCGAATTCATGTAGCCAGATAAGTGCATACGGAGAGTTGCTCTCAGAAGTGATGACAACCGAACTGATTGACTAGTTTCAACATAGAACTTCGTACACAGCAGTTCAGCTCGCCACTCTACCACACCCTCACGTAGTACACATACCAACAGAAGTGCACCAGCCAGCCAGTCCACACCTCCCTACTCACTCCTAGCATAAAGAAAGGTAGGAGTGGAGCGGTAGAGAGTACTGACCACTTCACTTATTCGGGAAGTTGCATCAGCATGCCCCAGAGGGTTGATCGCTGACGAAATCTCAGGATGGATACAGAAGGCTTGTTTAGCATTTGCCATCTGTAGCGTTGGTATGATATCCGACTGTCTATTGACCAGAGAACGTGTGTCTTGCTCAGTAGCACTTCACTCCGTACTCCTTTATAGCCGGCTGTAAAAGAGACATGGCCATTGAAGGCGGGAAAGATGAAAAGGCCAGCTAGTTGTCTTTGATCCTAGGTGCCTGCATTCTGTCCCTCGTGTTAGGTTGTAAGTGAAGTAGGGTGAGTAATATTTAGATTAGGCTTCAGTCGCGTATTAGGTTTGGAGGGGAAATCAGTCGCTGTGAAGTTACGTCGATTAATTTAGATGGTTAGGACATGTTTAGTGCATGTACGCCTAGCCATCGCCTTCCTCGATGATGCATAATGTTAGCTGACTGAAATAAGATGGATCAGGTTGTTGGAAAAGAGGTAGTTAGTCGTGGTCAAACGATAACACGGCTTCACTAGTCAATGAAATGCATAACAGTTGGTTTGAGCTATCCAGCCAGTCAGTTAGCCAGTCACGTTAACTGTTCTTTATGAAGATAGCTTGTCTCTTTTCATGCAGCTGCCTACGAGATATTAAAGTAATTTGCTAAGTTCTTTATTTTTATTTTGTTTGTCTGTCACAGTGAACAGACAATGTGAGGAATGCTTCAGGATTTATATTTCACAATTTTACTCGGTGTTGAAGTGGCTACTTACAAATTCTTGTGAGTAGTCTGATATGTCCGACTTAATTAATAAATATTTTTTGTGAATGGTTTTATATTCATACAGAAATCATCATACGTCACTTTTCTTCCTTTTCATGGATATGAATATTATTCAATTAAATGTGCCGTGGGTTCTGATTTTTAGAATAAGTGTACTTTTTTTGTCTACGGAACAATAAAGCTTTCAAGTTTTGGTTTGCCGGGATTTGATTGGTTACAGGATTTCATTATGATCTGACATCGGTTAGAGAACCATTGGAAAACCAGAACCAGAGTACTGGACAGCTTTCTCGTCCCACTAGTGCTGGAATCTGCTCCAGAAGTACGTATCCACCCACCAATAAGGTTTGAATCCCAGGACGTTTCGGTTACAAGGCGGCGGACTCGTAGACCAATTCAGCCACTGAGACCCCAACCCGATCCAATGATCACTTCATGAATTCCAACTTCTGCCAATAATTCTCGATATAGAGTGACTGGCACTAGCCAATATCATCCTCAGCGTCGAGTATTTGTTCTCACACCTGCCTGACCTACTGTATCCCACCGATCACAGAGTAAAATTATCTGGACACTATCCTAATCAGTCTGTCTGTCTACAAAGAAATGTAAATTCTACTAATTGATTAGTTGCTTTCTATAGGCGAATTGTCTTTGCCGTCAGTCAGTTGTGTTAAGTTGAACAACGTTCACCCAGACGACATATAATGGACAGAAAAGTTGTTCAAATATTTCACGGTAAAGTGAGTGTTATCGTAACAGTAACTTGGATCTCATTCAATGAAAACGCTAGCTGTCTTTGATCATAGGTGTCTGCGTTCCATCTCTCGTGTTAAGTGGTAGGTGTATTAGGGTGATCAATCTTGAGGTTAGGCTTTGGTCAAGTGTCAGGTAAGGAAGGAAAATCAAACGACGACCTTATGAAGTTACGTCGATTGATTTAGATGGTTAGGACATGTTTAGTGCATGTACGCCTGGCCATCGCCTTCCTCGATGATGCGTAATCTTAGCTGACTGACATAAGATGGATCAGGTTGTTGGAAAAGAGCTAGTTAGTGGTGGTCAGGCGATAACATGGCTTCATCATATATATATATATATATATATATATATTAAAAAGACGGTTACAGAGAAGAAAATTTTCTTTTCGATGAAGTCATCAACTAGGCTCTACATTCGTGTATTTGTAATTAATGGGTGGGAAAGTTCCACAATAATTTTTCGTCAAGGGTCAAATTAATAAAATTATAATTAGGAATTAAAATGCCATAATAAACTGGGGAGAGGGATAAAACTCGGACAAAGTAGCATCATAATTATTGGGAAGATTGACATTGATTGTGCAATTAGGGGTTAGAATGTAAGAATAACAAAATAGACAGGATGTTTCTGAAAAATATCTAGTGGGATCACAACTCATGTGACGAATAATTGTTTATGCGATTAGTGATTAAACATGTAGAAATAATAAGATGACAAAATAGACAGGAAGTTCGGATAAGAAAGGCAATGGGATAATCACTATTAAAATAATTACCTATTTATGATGGCTATGGCAGGGACAAGGGTTGAACGTATTTCTTTTAGATACATAGGGTGGGTTTTAGCTTTTGGATGGCTAGTGCCTCGGCTATGTCTGTCTGTTTTCGACATAGAACTTTGCACATATGTGCGGCAGTTCAAGTCGCCACACTCCATGTAGCACACAAAGCAAGAGAAGAAATGCATAATATCGACAGTAAACAGAAGTGTGAGACAAAGGAATAGTAATAAAGAAGAACAAAACAGTTTCATTGGAAATCATAAGTCACAAGGAGTGGATGCATCTGCGCCAGCCATTGAGAACGATTTTGAGCCATGTCACCAATTGTTTCCAACCATTGGTTTTTACCGTCCTGAGGACCCCAACCAAGAAGCCAGTCTACACCTTCCTACGTGACTGCCTTAAACTAACTGTTGTGGATTTCATTGACTGGTGCCATGTTTTGGTTTGACCGCCGCTAGCTCTTTTCCAGCCTGACCCTATATCATCTAACATTCCCCGTCGTCGAGGAAGGCGATGACTAGGCATACGTAACACATGTCCTAACCCTCTCAGTCGATCTAGCTTCACAGCCTCGTCGACTGATTTCCCCTCCCCCCTTACCTAGCACTTGACGTCTAACCTCAGTGTTGCTCACCTTATTATACCACTTCACACGGGAGGTAGAACGCAGGCACCTACGATCAAAGACAGCTAATCTTTTCATGTCTTTCAGTCTCAATGACCAGGTCTCACAGCCATAAAGGAGGACGGAGCGGATTGCTGAGCAGTACACACTCCCCTTCGGATATCACTTCTACGCCAGAGACGGCGTAAACTGGCATATGGGAAACTAGCCCTCTGTATTCGTACTGAGGTTTCGTCGGAGATCAACCCGTTGGGGCTGATGGTACTTCCCAAGTAAGTGAATCGGTCAGCGTGCTCTACCAATTCACTTCCTATTTCTAAACTAGGGTTCGGTGTAGTCCATTCCTGCAGCATCATCTTACATTTTACAGGGGCGAATCGCATGCGAAACATACGAAGATTGCTGCTCAAGGTGTTCAGTAGACTCTGCATTTTGTCAGCATTCTCGCCTAGAAGGACTACATCGTCTACATATTCTAAGTCAACGAGATTATTTCCTGGTAACAAGTCAATCCCTCAGTCTCTGAAGTGAGTTAGGGTTAAGTCCATTAGTACATCTACGATGAAGTTGAATAGAAATTGGGATAATGGGCATCCTTGATGGACGCCACTAGTCATCACCACTTCAGATGACAACTCGCGGTAAGCCCTCACCTGGCTGGCCTCGGCTATGCCCAGATGTCTTAATTTCACTCCCTTTGATAGGTTTGATCGAATCTTGTATATTATTTTGAAGGATTTCTTGAATGGCACTGAATGTCCTGAATTAACCAGATGTATATATATATACGTTTTTACTCATGTCATGATGTCTAACATCTTGATGAATATGTATTTTTCTCTACTCTATAATTACTGACAGATTGGTGAACTAGTTCTCAAAAGGTTGATCAATGAATTTCGTAAAGCATTTCGTCGGAATCAAAAAGATCGTTGTCTGTCAACTGCACGATTTTTGGCTCATTTAGTTAATCAGAAAGTTGTTCATGAATTAATTATCCTGGAATTACTGACTCTTCTACTTGAACAAACAACTGATGACAGTGTTGAAGTCGCTGTATCTGTACTGAAAGAATGCGGTGCTATGCTTTCACGTCTTGTACCTAAAGGTGTACATGGAATTTTTGAACATCTTCGACGTATTCTAAATGAAGGCCAATGTGATAAACGCATTTCTTATATGCTAGAAGTTATGTTTCAGGTAAAGTGGAAATCTTTTCTTTCTATTTTGGTATTTTTTTACTTTTGTGATATGTTGTTAATGTTATTATTGTTATTATGTAATATTGAATGGAGAAATTACTTTTTCAGACTTGACTTCCATTATTTTAAATCACGAAAAATACCCATTTATTCATAATTAAAAACACAGTTTGTCTTTTTGTTCAGCGAAGAAATTTCTTTTCAACGACTTCATTTCAAAGCTGTACAGTCGTATTTATATTACAGAAAAAAGGTTATTAAGTGGCACTAAATAATTGCTCAGTCAATATACATAAATGTGATAAGAATAACGATAATTAAAATGTTATAAGGGGTAGAGTTGAAGTGGATAAATTACAAAATTATTAAAGATTGTTTTATAAGTGAATTGATATCAAAACTTTTTAAGAAAAAATGTCAAGCTTTGTCTAAAAATTTTAAAAATTAGGAGTTTGATTACGATAGGAAATAAGGATGTGAAGTGAAGTGGAATTAATTCAAGTGGTAAAATAAAATAAAGTAAAAACTAGAAAGAACATTACTATGACCAAGGTAAAGAAAGGGTTTTGACAAAACGTTTTTGAACACATAATTTAGGTTTCTGTTCATGTATAGCTAAAGCTTCGGCTATGCATAAGTGAAGAAAACGTAAACTTTTGGATCGATTCGATTTTGCCATGTAGATAACCTTGAAGTATGAATCACATGAGGCTGAATGACCTAACTCTAACAGGTGATCACAGGTAGACGACTTCGCAGTTCTACGTTCGCCTTTCATTAACCAGACAGGATAGTGTTCAGCCACACGTTTTTGGAGATTACGCTTACCACGTCCAATACAATCAGCTCCACAAGAGCAGGTAAAAGAGCAAATACACATAGATGTGGACAAAAGCGGTAATCTATCCGTGACGCATTTTCTAATCATATTTCGGTTGGTAAAAACTAGTTGCAAGTCAGCTGCAGGAAAAGTACGTTTAATACATTTAGATAAACGATTTTTAATCAATTCCGAAATGGTGTCACCTTCGAATGCAAGACTCATAAACAGTTTTTTCTTTGGCACTGTGATTTGTTTAGGGCCGGATTCTTTCTTGATATTACTTTCGATAAACCTTGTAGGATAACCATTGTTAAGGATATTTGATCGAAGGTTATCTAGTTCACTATCGATTGCCTCTGTAGAGCAGATTTTACGAATTCTGGAGCATAAGGAATGAATAAGATTTCTCTTTCTACCTAAAGGTACCCAACTGTTGAAGTTAGTGTACTGCCCTGTGAATGTTGGCTTTCGGTAAATCGACCTTAACAGCGTTGCATTCTCTCTTCTATCTAGCTTAACTTCAAGGAAGTAAAACAAGGAATTCGACTCTTCTTTGACCGTGAAAAGGAAAGATGGATGAGAACCTATGTGTAAAACTTAGGCACTGTGGTAGTAAGTAATTCCATATTATGAGCTGACATCAGTTAGAGAACCACTGGAAAACCTGGGAGTACTGGACAGCTGTTTCGTCCTAGTTTGGGACTCTTCATCAGTACGCACCCGCCGGGATTCGAACCCAGGACCTTCTTGTTACAAGGCCATCGAGCTCGTAGACCATTGAGCCACTGGGACCCGATCCAATGGTCCTTGGATTCTAACTTCTGCCAATTCACGACATAGCGCGACCACTTCTCAATGTCTTCTTCGATGAGTTACTGCCTCATCTTCAACCTGCTGTACCCTACTGGTCACAGCTTCCCACTAGAACCCCAGGTTAACTGCCTGAATAGAGCCAGTCACTAGTGAGCATCAGATTAATTTTCAAGTATTGGTTTTGTAGGGATTTTGTTTGATTGCATGATTTCATCATGCAATCAAACAAAATCCCTACAAAACCAATACTTGAAAATTCCATATTAGTTTGTATATTAGATGTATCACACAGTCAGTGAAACAGTATTATTTAGTGGATGACGTTTCAAACGAAATTTATTGTTCATAATCATATCAATTGTAATCACACGACTTTGAAACTTGAGTTTATAGTTTTCTTTGTTTTCTCCTATTTGTCGTACGGGGTAGTAGAATTTTCCAGATATCGGGGACAGGTGATGAATTATTCCTATTACATGTATTTGTAGTTGATTCGATAAACAAAGCTTCTGTTATCAATCCCCGATATCTGGAAAATTCTACTACCCCGTACGACAAATAGGAGAAAACAAAGAAAACTATAAACTCAAGTTTCAAAGTCGTGTAATTACAATTGATATGATTATGAACAATAAATTTCGTTCGAAACCTCGTCATCCAGTAAATAGTACTGTCTCACTGTGTGATATATCTAATAAACAAACTAATATGGAATAGGTGAGAACCATTAAATATTCCAAGAAGTTCGGCAGTTGAAGAGTTTTTCCCACAGACAATGAAAGTATCATCTATATATCTTTTATACATAAATAAACTCTCGATGGTTTCCTTTAGTAGGCCGTTCTCTAAACTTGCCATGAAGACGTCCGCTAACAGCGATCCTAAAGGAGACCCTATTGCGACTCCATCCTTTTGATTGTAGATGATATCATTAAATCTAAATTGCACATTCAGTGTGCATCTCAATAATAGTTGTTTAAGATATTCAGTTGGTAAGCCAATGTTCATGCTATTTGAATCAATATACTTGCATAGATAGCAGATAGTGTCTATTCCATTATTTTGACATTTATCATATGTCGTTATAAAATGTATTTTTTCAGCTACGGCTTAGTAATAGTCTAACCCTGATTTACTGGCTCGCTTGACATATCCCAGCTTACGCCATTTCTGACGTAATAGACGTGATATCCGGCTGGCTCTACTCCGATCACCCAGACGATAACCACGAACACACTGAGGCAGTGGGTAGCTATCATTATGTCATCGGTGACAGCCAAAGCCCTAACGCAGTGGGAACCAATTTCATCCAGTATCATAACAGCCAGATTCAACTCTAAAGGAAGGAAGGTCACAATTATGCAATGCTACGCACAGTGCTACAAACAACGCGGAACAAGGAAAGAAGGAGGATTTTTACAGACAACTACAAACAGTAATTAACAACATCTCAAGTGATGACATCAAAATCCTCATGGGCGATATGAATGCCAACCGAACTGGGATCAGATACAGATAATAGAGGAAGAGAACTCATCATGGGTAGAGAGGCTGTCGCTCTGTGAAGTGAATGAGAACGGAGAATTATTAGCAGACTTCTGCCGTTTCAAAGATTTTGTGATTGGAGGAAGCGTGTACAAACACAAGGATATTCACAAAGCGACATGCATTTCGTCTGAGAGACACATTACGGACTAGATATATTTCATATCAACACTGCTCAAGGAAGTGGAGACGCAGCCTGATGGATACAAAGTCGAGGAGGGGAGCAGATGTGAACTCAGACCATCATCCAACTCAAGGAGCCTTCAAGGTGAAGGTGAAATCCATGAAAACAAATGGAGACAGACCACAATTCAAGTTCAACATTCAGAAAATGAAGGACAAAACTACAAGGGATGCCTTCTCTGCATATATCAGAGCAAAGTCGGACACGTTACGTGGCGTCACTGAGGAAACCTATGTAGAAGAACATTGGAACTCTCTGAAAGCGATATTTAAGGAACTGTGTACAACTTTTTTAGGAACAAGAAAGATACACGGCAAGGAATGGCTTTCAACAGGTACCTGGAAGCTAATTGAAGAAAGGAGGATGGTGAAAGAGAAGATGACTCAATACAAAGATGGACAACAGAAGGAAAAGCTGAGTTTAATGTACACTGCACTGAATAAAGAGAGAAGTGAAAAAGAGTGCTAGGAAGGTCAAACGACAATTCTACGACACACTGACCGGCAACTGAAGCAGAACGGTCAGACCGCAGGCAAGAGAGACATCAGGACACTATATCATCTA